TTTTTTTTAAGATTTGATATATCCTGAGGTAATCATCATTTAGCTGCTATACATATATTCCAAAAGACCACTCTCGCTTCTTTATCCCATTCAAAGCTAGCTTATTAATCACTACAAAGATGCTTAGGCAAATGTATTCAATTACAGTGATTGGTATCTTCAAAATACATGTACAGCTAATATGTCGCACATAACTTTAAAAAAGCTTAGATAGAAAGCTTTCAATCATCAATTTGTGATTTAATTATGGTGGCGAAGTACTGCTGTGGAATGATCTTAAGAAAAAAAAACATAAGTTTACATCTGTATTATGACAGCTAACCATAGCAGATAGCTAATCAAACCCTGAATTATCAGATTATTTAATCACTTTTTAATCAATAGCAGTTCGCTGAGAAAATCAAACATATGAACTGGGTACCGCCATATTAAACAACTCTTACACCTATTAAATATCAGAAATTTTATTTATTAAATAATGCACGTCAAATGTAGATAAGAACGGCACTCAATTTGTGGAGAGACATGAAACAGCTAATATGTAAATTGAAGAAGATCCCATGTTGCCTCTCCATGCAAAAGGTTGACCAACTCCATTGTCATGGCAGGTAACAGGAACGACAGGCAAGGGTTGGAACTGATATGGGAACGTATTTGAATAGAACTTAGACGTTCCAGGTGGACATACAAGTTCCATCCTGAAAAAAAAAGTCGTAGCTAAAATTGCATTCCATCCCATTCTTAGAAAAACTGTTTTCATCTAATTAGTGCATTATCTAATTTAATAAACAAATAGTAAAGCTAACCTGCAGATTGTTGGGTCATTGGGGTCTCTTTTCGCACGAAAAATGATATTCACTCGAGCCGGACAAGTCCTACGTTGGCAAGGTGATTCTTGTTCATAGATGTCTTCACATGCTCCGCATCATGAAATATTGTAGAATATTTTGTGAGAAATGTTCTTGGCATTATCCTGATTCACGCCAGTAATTTACTATTGAGAATATAGTTACAGGCAAAAGATTGGAGATCGGACTTATAAGCTGTGAAATTGTTTACAGCCCTTCTAAAGTAGAATTTCTTTCGATTTATTGGTCTATGAAAATGACTGGGTGCAATTTTTTTTTACTCGCGACATCAGTGGGCTTTTGGTAAAAGAAAACAAATATATGCATAAAATCCGCGAAGGCCCGCATTGAATTCTTAATAGTTTGTAATGAAGGGCTGGGCTGTATCGAGATTTAGAACGCACATGACCACTGCAAAAACGTCAAGTATAAATTTACCGCTCGTGTAGACAAAAAATACAGAAACTGCTTTATGTGCAGTT